TCCATGGAGAGAAATAGGAAATGGTTTGTTCACCGACGATCACCCCAATCTCCGGATGCATTAAGCCATCACGCAGAGGTAGATGCGACTTGCGTACGACCATGCTTCATTCGCCACCCTATCGTAAACATCGTCTGGATACTTGTCCACCGCGGAACCTTTCCCTTGCCATTCCTTTTTTCTTCATCCTTCCTTTTTTCATTCCTTCCTCTTTTGCGTTCTCCCTTCAACAGATGGGCCAGTAGATGCCATGCCATGCCAAAATACCCCTGGACCTCACAGCGAGAGCATGTCCGGTGACAACTGCCCTGTAACCGCCCCGCCAGTCTTCTACTGTCGTCCCACTGAGTGGTTGCTCTCTTCCTTCGTATCACTCATAACCTTATGGACTGTAGCGCTACCACGTCATATACTCCATCCCGGTTAGTTGTGCTGCTTGCCAACCATGCGCTATCCTTTCTTTTCTTGTTCTTGTAACAGCTCACATTGCAATAATAGCTTAATATTGTGTTGCATCATTTACCACGCGTCCTAATAATAATGCGGTTTCTTGTGAACATTCGGTTCGTAATCTGTCCGTCATGCAGCAACAAACACACGAATAATCGGTCACTCCGTGATTAGTCTTCTTCTCTGTCATGCAATCGTAGTGGACATATCAGGCACCGGGGACAGGCCCAACGTGCCCGTGGCTGGCCAGCAGGTACTTGCCCCTCTTACCATTAGAGCAATATGTTGTATCATGAGCGTGTTCTATTGTGCATTAAAGGAGCCGGCCATATACTGAAGCCGTGAACATTCTTGAGAGCAGTGCCCCTTGCTGTGGACCTTCGGATGCTGCGCTTGAATTCCCGTCGTGCTGTTCTCACACCCGTTTTACATCATCGGTCCAAAGTGATCTCGACACAAGTAAGGAGTTACTTAGGTGGATTGAAATGGTATGCTCCCAGAGAAATTTGTTATATAATAACACTGATACTCTTCTTTAGGAATATGCATGTTTCCCATTCGGTGTTGAGAAGCACAGCACTTTCGGGGGACAATTTTTCGTGGGGAAGCAACCGAGATGTTCGATTAAGTGGTGTTCGATGGGGCCTAGATCTTGTGAATTTTCTGAATGCGGGATAGTTCCAGAGAAAAACTCGTTTTATGGCATTTTTGTAGTTCATGCAATTTCTTTGGCATAGGCTATGCGACTCCTCTCCTCCTCAGCCCAATTCACTAGCGCTCACATGACATGTATAGTATAGCGACTCAATAAATTTTATTACTGTTTCGATAAATATAACATATATTATTCAGATCACTCCTTCTTAGTCTTTTTAGACCTGCAACAGCACCTCAGGAAGATGAATTTGGCAGTTTTGTAGACAATGAAGAGGATGATGAGGAGTACTGATAGCAATGCTGCTATAACGTCTATGGAGTAGTACTGTATAACGTTGAGTTTTGTTCCAGCTGGCACCAGATTGTCGAGTGTCTGGAATTCGGCCACGAACTCGGTCCATTTGACAAGCAGATGTTCTGGACTGACTGGCTTCTTCTGAACCATCAATGATAGGCGTTTGGCGCTACGAGAATACCTGAAAATAAGGACTGATTGAAGTGTAAGGGAAGTCAATATTCGTACGGTACTCTTGCTAACGCTTACTTATCGTTCTCAAGAACTTCCTTGACAGCGGCGTACAGAGTTTCTTCGCTCAGCTCGGGTTTCTTGATGTTCACTGCGAAACCGTGCTTGGCAGCGATTTTGGAGTTTTTGAACTGGTCGCCGAAAAGGGCTATTGTGATGAGCGGAACACCAGCATTGATCGCTTCCTGATTCAGTTTCTGGATATATGGAAAGAAGGGAAAATCTCTTCCTAAACGCCAGTCGCCATATATTAGAAGAGTGTTCGCTAGCTAGGCACTTGACCGTGTCTACTTTGGGTGGTGCGCGCCTGTTGTGACGACAACTCCCAATTGTAACACCTCTTTTCGCTGCTGCTCGGTGCTGACCCAGGCCTATTTCTCCTCTTTTACAAGGGTATTTCGCGGGGCGCGACGACGCCAAACGACACCACAAGAGCAAAAGATATTTCGCTGTCCGGTGAACCGCTGCTACTGAAACCGAGGTCTACTGGAGTCCTGCTCAATGTTGGAGCGAACCATTCCTTAGCCAAACGGATGAGCTATTCTGGTGGAACGCGGAATACGATACACGTACTGTGAAATTTCGAAATTTCTCTTTATACCCGACTGCTGAAAGTCACGTTCCACCAGAATAGCTCAGAGTATTGCTCGGCTCCGCTCTCCTTACCAAGATACGAATCCCTTCGCCTAACAGGGCTAAGCGTAGAGAGCGCAGAGTAATAAAATTGTTACCAAGATGGGAATTGGTTTCAGCGGCTGTGAGCCCAAGCTCCACATATTGGAACGATGAGGGGATACAGCATCGTTGGGAGAATATTGTCAGAGTCTCGTACTTGGTCGCTGGGGAAGAGGGATCGTATCTGGCTATGATGGAATATTTTTCGAGCCGCAACAGATGTTTTCTGGTTGCTGGCCTCTCCTTTCCCAGCTTTTTTTTCAGAACAAAGAGGAAAACGTTCTGGAAAGTCGGGATAAGTAGATGGGGAGGTGGCAAAGTTCAGGAAGCCGTGGGTACGCTGGGGAAGGAAATGGGTCATATCAGAAGAGGGACTTTCGGGGTAGGTCTTGACGATTCCGCCATTTCATACATCACGTTGCTCTATGCTGGTCTCGTTGCGTGCTCCTAAATGACTTTAACACCTACATAAAGATAAATGTTTCACCTGAAGACTGTTGTATCCGCCATGTGAAATGAACGCTTTGTGCGTGGATGTTGCAGAAGATCAGCTTGTGGTAACCACGAAAAAGTGTGTACATTTGGTGGAAGATGATCTGAAATGGATAGATTCGTGAGGCTTCCATAATCCTAGGAAAGAGTATAGGGGTGAAAAAAAGGAAAGCTGTCATCCCTTCACCTTTTAGGTCGTCAGGCACATATCGTATCACAAATTGATAGTCAGGGAACCGAGCAAAAGCCTTCAACATGGCTGTCTTCCATTGTTCAGGCATCCATTCAGTTTGTGCTACCGACCCGAACGACATTACCACCAAGCCTTTTCCTGTTTCCACGATCTTCTTGAATTTCTGTAATTGTGTGCATTGCCCGGTACTTTTGGAATGAACTTTTTTTCAAGTTGCAAAGCTCTGCAAAAATTTAGGTTGAGCAGATGGAAGTCAGTTATTGAGAAACCCTGTGTGAGAAATCCGCTGGCAAAAACACCCCTAGAAAGGTTCCTTAAAATTCAGAAGTTCCTTAAAATTCAGAACGGCATTGTTAGCCGTATATTCTTCGCGTTTCGTCACTTGACCATCAAATAGGACCCCTGCTACTATTTCAGACCGAGTATCATTTTATGCCTTCAAACACTCACTTTACACTAGTAATGTTGTACACTTACTCCTTTCAATGGCTTGGCATCCTTGTGCTCAACTCCAAGTCCACCAATGTTCACCACCTTAGCGAGTGTTGGTCTAGGAAACTCGTACAGCTCATTGCTGTTGGCCATAATCTAAATAGGGGAATAATTACCAAACATCCTACAGTACGTTCACAATGACATACAAGGACAGACAGAAAAGTGGGGGAGATTTCGAACGTTTCACTCACCAAAGGACATTTGCTTGCCAAATCCAAGATGTCTGGAAAGTTGGCATCCCAGTGCTCTCTCATTATGGCTGTTTCTTTGTTGACTACCATTCTTAAACCATATTGTATTGGGCACATACAAACTCGATCGCTGTGGATGATGAGACCTGACAGGAAAGTTGGCTATGGCAGGATACCGGGCGATTTTCTAGCATCTGTTGTCGCATGCCTGCTTCAACAAATGGTGGGGAAAGGGCCGGCACTGCGCCAAACCCAGCCCCCTGACACGCCCCACCATGTGCAGCGAACAAAATTGTAAACACCTGCTCGAATTCAACAGAATTATGAAAGCCATACATAGGATACAGTATGTTTCCAAGATTATGGCCAATGAAACTCTTTGTTCTCTCATAGAAGTTCATTTCGTCTATGCTCTCCATCATCAACGCTGGAACGAAATGGTAGTCAGATCAGTTGAGGAAGTATTGAAGTTCAGTTTGCACGCATAGTGGGAACTACTTATGACAATTGCCTGATTCAAGTGGAAGTAGGAAAAAGGGTGAAGAGAAAAATGAGAAGTGGACTCACGCGGAACGTAGCTGGGAAACGTTGGGACACCGACAAGACTTCCAATGGTATCCATGAGCTGCCCACTGGAAGTATGATTCCAAAATCTGTTCCACCATTGGCTCCAATCAATCAATCATCACCAAAAGTAAACTACCTGAGCAACCATATCCATGTGGGGATTTTCGCTGCATGAATTAGTGCAATTGGGCAGGTGTGATACATGTGGGCAAAGGCGATGTCGAACTTTTCATCACTGAGCCATTTCATAAACGTCTTGTTCTGCACAGTCACTGAATCATCGTCGTTGATCCTCTTTCAGGATTACTCGTGTGTATCAAGGAATATCCAGGGAATACGGTTCACGAAGATCGATGATGCAGTCAGGGTAATGTACAGCATGGTGTGGAAACAATAAAGGGGAGGGGTCGTGCCTGTCTGGGAGAGAGGGCGGGGTGGGGTCGTATTGCTTGAAAAAATTTGCACACGTTGGGAAATAACTTTCTCACCGGTTTGTGCACTTATTCGCGGTGAGTTTTCTTTTTTCATGTGTACCTATACACCGCGCCACGCCCTCCCCGCGCTTAGTCGAAACATTTTTGGGCGAGTCAGAAAAACTGGATAATAGAGATGTGGAAATTGAGTAGGTAGGTGTTGGGAAGGGGGGGGGTCGCACCGAGACCGCTCATCTAAGGGGGGGGGGTTGCACTGAAGACATCTCTATCGAGGGGGTCCTACCATGCGTACCAATTTCACACATCACGACGCTGTATGCCATCGTGACCATTTCTTTTAAAGCTTAACGCCATATTGTTTTAGACGCAATTTTGAATCTACCACATTTCTTATGAATATGTACAAAAAATCTCAACCCCAGACAGGACAATCACCAAAATGGACGGAAACTCTCCCTCGCGCCTGATGATCACTTGGTGGCTGGCGTTCGAGCTAACGAGCACGCGTCCACCCAGCGACCATTAGTCCCTTCAAAGCGGCAGCCGTTAGCGCTAGCAGGCGGAAAGTATAGATATCAATCGGTTACACACGCCACGACATCACCCCTAATCCAGCTGTCTCCTCTCTCCTACTTTCCCATACTATATCAACAGCCTGCTACCCTCCTACTTCCCATACGCTCTACTCCTGGTCGCTAGTGGTCGCTGGCGACCCTGCCAGCAAAGTATGAAGCAGCCCAGAGCTCGCACCGCTTAGTGCCCACAAAGCTCCTTTAAAATTCTATGCGTCATTAGTGCGAGCCAAGTGCTGCCCTCACACACATTCCGTCACACATGAGTTCCGATCACTATGAGTACCGCGGCAAAATTCTCCTCCAATTTCATCAATTGTATTCGCAGTATGGTGTAGTTCACGAAGCCCGACTCCAAACCCTACCCAAATGGCAATGATCGATTCGAACACGCTACGATCGGAGCACCATCATTGTACTACCCCCGTGAATGTTCTGCCACACAAAACCCAATCGGATCGCTTTGGGCTACCGTTCATCACCCGCATGCATCTAAGATGTCTTTACAATAGTTACGACAGTTTATTACTGAACTCACGTTTGCAGCCTTCCATTAGTGACCCCATAAATTTCTCCATGTGCTTTCTGTGCCTGGAATCCCATAATGGAAGATCCTGAATCAGAGGAAGAAGAAGCTTGTCTTCTCAGTTATGACGAAAGAATGAAGGGTCGAAAGCGTGTGCACTTATGAGCTCCGCACGAAAGGGCGTGTGAAGGAAGATGGATTGGTGCGTTGTCAAGGCGGCCTTGCCACCAACAATGCCTTTCTGAGTCCGCAACAGTTACTGGGAAAGACTGTTCTGGCTGCCTTGCAACTTTCGCTCCTTCACCCGCCCCATCATTTGCAGAAATCATGTCAGCTCATGACATCGATATCGCGCGCGATTCGGCAATCCTAGATAGTTGGCCCGACATAGCAGCTCGTTATCGCTTATTTCACGCCATTATCACTGAAATTCCATAAAGCATGGTGCGACGAGTTCTTGGAATTCTTCACACGATTCGACGACAAAATGCTATGTCGAGTCAACCAACTAGCAGTGCTGGATTACGTGGGAACCCACACCTCGGATGTCTTCAACTAAACCCAATAAAGGGTACTGCATCAACAAAAAGAGCTTTCATGTACTCACTCCAAAAACGCTATCCTTCATGAACCCCTCGAACTCGTCCTTGGTGAAACCTGATGAGGCATTACTGGTA